TCAACTTTAGTTCGAAAATTTATTTTTTATTGGCTCTTTTCTTTCGTGTTTATGTTATTTTTATTCATTTTTATTACTTTCAAATAAATTTGTCTATATAAAAAAGGGCTTATACTAAAATTCGGTCATATTTAAATGAAAATGGTGTTCGTTAGAAATAAAATGATTAGTAACTTAGAAATTATTTTTAAAATTTATCTTAAATTTATTTGGCTCTTTTTTTTGGTGGTGGTGCAACCGCTGCCGCTGCTTCTTCTTCTACTTCTACTTCTTCTCCTACTTCTACTTCTTCTTCTTCTTCTTCCTCTAGCTCTTGTCCTTCTTCTTCTTCTTCCTCTCCATCGCCTTCGCTTTCGCCTTCTCCTTCCTCTTCTTCTTCATCGAAATCATCATCGTCTGAATCAGCAATAAAATCAGCAAATCGGTCAGCTTCTCGTGCGTCTTCTTGTGCATTTCCATCGTCCACTTCCATCGGTTCACCCTGTTCTTCAGTTTCTTCAAAGAGGTTTTTGCACCACAAGCAAATTTCTGCCATAATATCATCCGGCGACCGTTTTCCTCTGTATCTAAAAAAAAAAAACAATTTTATCAGACAAACTTCATTATACATGGGTATGGCGAGAATACTACCTGATTTCAAATGGAATCGCCGTTTGATGGAACCTTTCGCCTTGCTCGTCCGATTCTGTTGGCGCTTGATCTTCAAAGTACTCCAAATGGTGATGCAGAAAATGTATTTTAAGCGACATGTTTACGCCAATTTTACTGAAATAACCGAGCATTTCAGTTATTTCTGTATCATACTCGGGTGATCTATGCTTTCCTAAATATCCCTTGATGACCTTTTTTACGGCCGACCAGGCTCTTCTTTGTGATGGTTTCAAAATTGCGTCAAACCTCTCGTCTTTTATCAGTTTTCTGATATCGGGACCATTGACAACGCCTAACAGAAAAAAGATTGATTAATTTTAAACATGATTAACGTGTGAAATGAGACGAGATATGAAATAAGTAAAAATATATTTGATTCATACCTCCACGCAATTTGCTTTCGCTGATTTTCTTTTTGAAAACGTCTTCTCGCAAAAGTTGCAACACTGAAGCAGCATGACGTCTATTTTTCTTGTTGCCAACAACAGCTTTAATGAAGTTTTTTACAATTCCAAGTTTGACATGAAGATAGGGTAATAATATACTCTCACGTGGCACAAGAGCTTCGTTTTCAACATTAAACTCATGCAATACATGTTTGTCTCTGTTCTGCCACGAATATGTCTGATATTGGTTTCCTTTATATCGTGAGTCCCATTTGCATAGAAAACACATATACTTTGTGTATCCTGTTTGTAGACCACAGAGTATCGCAACCATCTTTAAATCGCAACATATGCGCCATTTATGTTTGTCATAATCCACCAATCGCAAAATCGTGCGTATTTTGTCATACGTTTCTTCGGTCTCAGTATTGTAAGCAATGGGGACCGACGGTTTCGAATTAGTCTTGTGCAACAGCACTGCCTTCAAACTGTTTTTCGAAGAATCAATGAACAGTCGCCAGTCCTCGGCTTTGTAAACAATTCCCATTGCTTGCATTAATTTCTCGACATCGTGACAATACGCATATGTTTTATCAAGTCCAGTCCAGTCATAAAACATTCCTGTAGACTTTTCTGGCGGCTTCTGTAAGCTGTTATTTTGGTGCCGGGTGCCAAAAGGTTATTTTCTTTGAGAAAAGATGCAAGAGTTTCGGCTTTGCGCTGAGATAGTTCCAGTTTGGAAACGATGAAATCAAGTCGATCTTGTGTCAAAAGATTTGGCTGGTTTGAAGCTCCTTCTCCTGGATCGTAAAACGTATAATCAGGTGTTTCTTCTTGAGGACCTGTGGTAGCAGTGACAGCAGTTACACGATCTGGAGTTGGAGCGTTTGGCACAGGAATGATGTCTGAGTGAGGTAGTGGCCTTTGGGCACTCGGAACGGCAAAGTATTCTTTCGATTTTGTATTTTTTACATTCATTCCGCGGACAAAATTACGACATGGATAACAGTTGTTTGGATTGTGCGCTCCCGGATCAGTCCATATCATGGGGGCACCAAAACGCATTTGTGTTTGCTTTTGGTCCATCCATTTCATAAGACCAGTGTAACATGTCATGCACACTGAGTCTGGCACCCAATTCACACCTTCAATTACATCTTGATCGAAATATAGTTTATATGCTTTCTTGAAATCATCACTGATGACACGATTCTTTCTTTCAGCTGATTTTTTTGTTGAGTCTAAGATCGGTGTGAACTCTCCACAAACGTAACAGAAGTTGTTGATGTTTCCTCGGCAACTATCCATTTTTCGATTTAAAAATGTATTTCACAATGTTATGAGATGACGATACGAATGGAATGATACAATTTCGTTGCAAAAAAGGCAATTTTTTACAGTATTGTGTAGATTTTTCGTATATTCCACTGAATGTTACACGAGTTAAATTTAATTGATAATGATATGAGTTTTCACATCTATTTGAGCAAATCAAAATAATATTTTTAGAAAAGAGCACTGTTAGAAATGAATTTCACAATGTTATGACTTTATACTAAATGACAATATGACTGACAGTTACTTGACAGTATACATAACGCATTCCCTATTGAAAAAACACGTTACACATGTTTGTATTCAAACATTTATTTTCAGTTATGAACAAGAAAAAGATGAAAATTTGAAACGAACAATATTTCAAAATAAATAGTCGTCACAAAAGGGAAACATATATCTTTGAATAGTGCTATCAAAGATTTATATATTTTTTTCACTTACGTGTATTGAAATCGAACAAATGTATACGTAAAGTATGTATATATACACACGTTAAACCTCAAATTTATTTGAAAGTAATAAAAATGAATAAAAATAACATAAAAACGAAAGAAAAGAGCCAATAAAAAATAAATTTTCGAACTAAAGTTGA